TTAATTTTAATGAGAAAAAGTTTTTTTATTCATTTCACTGATTTACATATAACTTTATATTTTACATATCACTTATATTTTATTAGAAACTTTAATTCTAAATTTGATTTCTCATTTTCTTTATTGTTTTTACTACTTTGTTACTAATAAAATCACTGTTAACAATAAATTGTATATTTATATTTGGGAAAATTGTAAATAAAAACCCCCAGCATGTAAAATTACGACTTGAGACTCTTAATTTGAAACATAGCAAATAAGAACCCTATCTCACTTTTGCAAATATGAAAATCATGATAAAATGTCCCTCAGCCAAATGATAAGTTGATTACGGAAAATAACAAATTCACTTTACCGAATGATAACTTCAATAGACCATAAGTATACAAGATTGAAACCAGAGATTCAACATTGATTCTGATTATAAAACTTTAAACGAATTTTTATAATTAGGACCGAAAATGATATTATGTATTACCCGGTTTGCTTTTAACTATCGGGCACACATACATGTACACGGTGTTTCACTGTGCGAACTCACCCCTTTTTGATTTGATGTTTTTGTTTTGGGGGGGTTGTGGGGGACTGGCGGAGAGGATGCTGTCTCTTAATAGTGGATGCTAAATCAACATCCTTCTGGCTCCTTGATTGGTGCACTGAGTACCTGATATTACGGGCCTATACAAAGAAGTCTACGTTGACTATAGTAGTACTAGTACTACGATAACGAAAAATACACAAAAACAGTCTTCATTTTAATCTTTTCCATTCAAAGTATTTATTTGGTAATTAAAGAAAACTCCGTCCCTTATTCTCTATCAAGCTTTAGACTCATTTAAAATGATTTATAAGTATTTTTTTATTAAAATAATTTATAAACATCTTGTCAATCATTATTTATCATGTTAAATCAATTTTATCTTGACTTATATTAAACATGTTTATAAATTATTATTCATTTTTTTACTATTAGTATTAACAAATCAGGGACCATCCTCCTGGCACCCCACCCTTGACCTATAAGGGGCAAAAAAAAAAGAAGAATACGTATTTTTTTATTGGATTTCAAAATCTTGCCTTACAAGATTTGGACCAGATGAATCCTACATTTCTCCTCGATTTAATTATCAATAAATTTTTTATTCAATGGCACTTTGTACTTTCTCTCATTAAGAAGATTGTGGGTTCTGCATTCTATGGTGACAAAACTGGGGGGAATCCGGTCCCCTCCCCTTTGAAGAGAGTAGGGTTTTTTAAACTGCTAAACTAAACAAACAGGAAAAAACAAAAAATCTTCAGTCGTCCATGAAATAATTATAATGGCCATTAGATTAGCCCAACATGCAAATGAGATAGTAAATGTCAGATGCAGGGAACAGCCCTGAATCGAAAATTATCGATATTAAATCATTCATTTTAATATTCAAAACTTGCTTTTACACATCGTCTTCAATGCAAGTTGTTGAAGTAAAATAAACGAAAAAAATTAAAAACTGAGGTAAGTAAAAAACTGGGATAGCTGGGTCTAAAGGGGAACCAGGGCCAAAAAGGACCACAGTGTAGCTGATATAGGGTAATTGATGAAACTTGACAAGTGAATAATGGCGGAAATTTAAAATAAAATTGTGGCATCAAATACTAATCGTTGCTCACCATGCATCTCCATATCGTCTTTATTCTTGTAATTATTCATCACTGGAATAATTTATTGTTATTGCATTAATTGCAAATGATTATTTAGATTAAGAGAATGTATGCAAAACAAATACACATAGCAATTTTTTTATATAAAAAAAAGACAGACAATGAGGCTTAAAAGCATTAATGCTTCGTATGGCTTAAGAGAAAACATTTCATGCACGTACTACAACGAACAGTTTCAGTTATTTTACTTTCATAACAGATATAACCCAGCATAATACTACATCCAGTCTTTAATATACGACCTAATTAACTAATTTAAGAATATTAAAAAAATCAGTTATGTTAGTTATTTGTTATAAATAGATATTGTATTTTCAAAATATCCGTACTAATCATGTATATTAGTTAAAAATTATTATTTAATAAAACATTTAAACATGATTAACTATTATAAGGACTGCTTTAAAAAAAAATATGATAGATAAAGTGGATTTGGGTCTTATATTTAGAACCAAATTGAAAATCAAACAAACTCTTGTAATCTAATAAAGGACGGAGGTAGTGATCAAATTTTATTGACATTATTGTAGAGTTTTAGAGAATAGCAAAGGTAGGGTTATTGATCACTTATAAATAGTATAGTTTGCTAAAAATTTTATATCTTACTGTCATGATTTCTCATGCCTTGCACAAATAGACGAGATATATCGTTTACTATTCAAAACTCAAATGATTTTCAATGGATTACGTATATTAATGACATCACTTACTTGTGACAATGTTGGAATTCATGATCTTTAATAGTTTAATATTACCTCCGGTCATAATTATAATGCTTCATTTATAGACTATAAACAAGGTTTTATAAGTATGATAGGAGGTAGTATATCATACTCGAAACTATTCATAATTTAACGAACGTAAACGTGACCTGCGACAATCCCGTAAATCAATCTGCAGGGAATTTGAAAAGTAACAAGGTTGACTCAGTGCACCGTTTGTGACGCAAGAATCATGGTGTGTGAGAAGGGGAAAAGCTTAAAGCTTAGAAAATTACAGGTCAAAGAGGCACGTGCTTGGCATTATCAAAGAAGAAGACAGCAACCCCCATCCTCGTATATTCAAACATCTTCTTTCAGATGATCTTGGGGCAAGTAAGTGAATGAAAATCATCCATATTTAATCCTTGGCAAATTACAATTATATGTTCAGGACAAAGAAAAACTCATAAGAGGTTGGGCCTCAAGATCCGACAGGAATCAAGTGAACTTAAATGTGTAAACAATCTGGGGGGTAGTGTTAGTTTAGGAGTTGGAATTAAATTAACAGAAAATTAAACTTGTTAATACCTCCAATTTTTTAGATAAGATTTACTTTCTAATACGAAGAATTGGTGAAGGTAGTTATTAAAATATGAGCAGTTGGCAGTAGCGAAACGGATTTCGTCCTTCCGGATTTGGCCAACATCTGGGTAAGTACAATGGGCAACATAGAGTTGTTGGATATGGTGATGGATTTGGGTAAATTAAACAGTTGGTGGACAAGGGCAGGCCTACTAAGGTATTATTTAGTTTGGTGGGTTTTAGTGTATCGTCAGAGCAAACCCATCTGCCACTTCAATTAACGCCCAGCTCCTAAGCTCCCTATTAACAAAATATTATTATTCATTGCAGCAAAATTGGGATTAATAAAATGGAAACAACAGTTTATGCTACATGTGCATCCACCTTACCTTAACCTGTTTTCATTATGAAAATTTAGCTATTATTATTTAATTATACCTGAAATGTCGTTGCCTATAACAATCTGCTGTATTAAAAACTGACTTGTACTGAACTTCTTAGGAGTCATGTCCAGATAATTTTTGTGGCATTTAATACTTGATCAGGAATCCCCTAAACTTTTGAACTAAAATACAGTATATAAATATCATATTTTTTAACTAAAAAAGCCTCAATGTATTTCGAATCCATTTCTTTTTCTTCCCATCTCTATTGTATTTCTTGAATGTATACTAAAAGACGACAGATGGGGCTGTGAGCGATGGAACCCCAATAATTTTGACATGTTTACGGCAACAAATGATTAAGAGGAGGGGGTCATTATGAGTCATTATAGCAAAACGTATTGTAATCACGATAGGAACACCGACTCAATACCATGATTCAAATTTGCAATTATAAAAGCGTGTGCCCCTCGTGGCATGCTCTCTTGTTATTTTTCTTACCGTTATGGTTTTCTGCAATCTCCTGATGATACATGGTGATCACTGTCTCGAATTTTTGCAAATTAATAATATAGTAAGAAAAAAAATACAGAGGGCTCTTACAGTCTTGCGATATTACTTATTAGGGCTTCAAAACTTCAAATTCACGAGCTTGAGGTCCCTGAGTAAACACAAATACATAGCGGGGACCTGTATTGGAGATTGGAAATTTGTGGGTAGGCTTCTTGTGGATATTGGAATTAAGAGCGGTCATGGAGGTCACAAGTATACCTCTTTTAGTAAAACTCGATCCGCTTTTGTTCGGAGCTTTCCCTCCGCACACCTTCCATGCATGCATGGTTGCATGCTTGTGCCCAGCTCTTACCAACCTGCGTGCCTCTTGCTCACTCTAGGTTTGACATTTTTCAATAACTAATGCATCACAGTTACAGTGAATTTGGTCTAATCTTGAGATATTCAATTCTTAATTCTTAAAATATTGAAGCTAATTGAGATATTTACTTTGATATTAAATCCAAAATCTTAATTCATATTATCTCGTTAGTTTATAATACTTTTTCAAGATACCCATATTAATTACATATGCTAAAAGGAGGCTTTTATCAATAAAATTCTGATGCCCATGATGGCATTCCTAAAAAACCAGATACCCATTTATTATAAATAAATAAACTAATTTTTTAATATGAAAAAAATAGGGCCCGTGTCACAGTCAACTCTGTTCTATAGTCATAGGAACTGTTTTTTTTTTTTGGGACTGAACATAGGAACTGATTTAGAATTCATCAAATTCCTAGGCTGCCCTTTAGTGTCCGCACATTCAATTCATCACATGATGCAACAAATCACAAAAGGAAAGGCCCTTGCCCTCCGCCCCACTTCCCATAATTATTTATTTAATTCATTTACAATGTAAATAAACAAAACCAAAAGTGAAGGAGAAAAAAGAAAGAAACGGACAAATCAAGCCTCCCCCACCCATGGCAAGCCCCCCACAATTAGACCCTTAAAAAGAAAATTAACATATTAACCTTCAAAGTTTAAATAAACAAAATATTGTTTTTTAAAAAAAGTTCCGGAGGGCGGAGCGGACGCCAAAACTAAGCCCCACACTGGGAGCGCGTGTTTTCCACCTCCCAATAGATGCAAACTGACGACCATGATCGGCTCCTTGGTTTCGTACGTGGGACTCCGGCTCCAGTCTTACCTCGTTGGCTCGTTGTCCCAGTTACCATCAACATCCCCGACAATGTCCCCCACGCGCAGATAATCTCCGCGTGAAAGCGCGTTCACTTCCTCTGAGGATCGTCAACAGTGTCTCCCGAGTTCTCTCCTAGTCTCTCCCCCTTTGCCTTGCCATTATTATTTCTCAATCTCAATTCTCGCTGCCCCATTCTTCTTTGTCCCCGAATCCTTTTTATCGCAGTTTTTTTTTTTAGAATTTTTTTTTATCAGTAATGAGCACATCATAGAGACGAAATTAAGCCTCCTCGTCCTAGTTACTTACTACTCTTGTCCGATCACTGGTCTTTGTCGTGGTATGGCATGCCACCGGGAATACAAATCCCGACCACCATCACCGGTTTTCTCCGTCTAAATGCACCGAACACGATGCCGTTTCATCAGGACTCTTGAATCCCAGAGCGACAACGATGACGAGGACGGTGAATATGTAATCAAACCGTCCCTAGCTGAAATCAGATTTTTCATCCGTTTGGGTGCTTACAGCAATGACGACCACTAACACTGAAACACCGCCTGTCGACACAGCTTCGGCCGACGAGCTTGCAGCAAAAGCTGTGCACAAGCGCTATGAAGGGCTGGTTATGGTTCGAAACAAAGCCATTAAAGGTAAAGGGGCTTGGTATTGGGCACACCTGGAGCCCATGTTGGTTCACAACACTGACACTGGACTTCCTAAGGCAGTGAAGCTCAGGTGCTCTCTGTGCGACGCCGTATTTTCCGCCTCGAATCCTTCTCGCACTGCTTCTGAGCATCTAAAGCGTGGAACTTGTCCCAATTTCAGTTCTGCACCTGTGCCCATTTCCTCTGTTTCACCTACGGCTGCAATTGTGTCGTCGCCGCCGTCTTCTTCCGCTCACCACAATCACCGCAAGAGAACTTCCTCTTCTTCTTCTGCTGGTAGAGCGTCTGGTGGTGGGCCCGCTTCGTCTTACCCAGCTCCGCAGCTTGCCATGGTGGATCCGTTGCGATTCTGCGGGGAGCTCACGTACACGACGTCGTCAGCATCACCTAGTCCTGTAGTGACAGGTGGTGCAGCGGGTTTGTTGCCACAACAACCGCATTTGATGTTATCTGGAGGGAAGGAGGATTTGGGAGCTCTGGCTATGTTGGAAGACAGTGTGAAGAAGCTCAAGAGTCCTAAAACGTCACCTGGTCCTATTCTTAGCAAGACCCAGATTGATAGTGCGCTCGATTACCTCGCTGACTGGGTGTATGAGTCTTGTGGGTCGGTGTCTTTTTCGAGTTTGGAGCACCCAAAGTTCAGAGCTTTCCTTAACCAGGTGGGTTTGCCAGCTATTTCTCGCAGAGAATTGACAGGAGCGAGATTGGACGCCAAATTTGAGGAAGCCAAGGTAGAATTGGAAGCGCGAATCAGAGATGCCCTGTTCTTTCAAATTGCATCTGATGGGTGGAAACCCAAGAAATATGGGGTTTACAGTGATGAGAATTTGGTGAATTTGAGCGTGAATCTCCCCAATGGGACCAGTTTGTACCGAAGGGCGGTGTTTGTGACCGATTCTGCTCCTTCTAAGTATGCAGAGGAGGTGCTGTGGGAGACAATCACTGGCATTTGCGGGAATGTTGTGCAACAGTGTGTAGGGATAGTTGCGGACAAGTTTAAGGCCAAGGCTTTGAAAAACTTGGAGATTCAGAATCATTGGATGGTAAATCTTTCTTGTCAGTTTCAAGGCTTCAATAGTTTAATCAAGGACTTCGGCAAGGAACTTCAGTTGTTCAGCACCGTCACCGAGAATTGTCTCAAGCTCGCAAATTTTGTCAATTACAAGTCTCAGGTTCGGAATAGTTTCCAAAAGTACCAGTCGCAAGAGTACGGCCACACCTGGTTAATCCGAGTGCCGTCGCGAGATGCCCAAAATTTTAACTTTGCGCCTGTTCACACGATGATAGAAGACATACTGAGTTCGGCTCGTGCTTTTCAGTTAATTCTGTTAGATGAATCATTCAAAATGGTATGCATTGAAGACCCAACAGCGAGAGAAGTGGGAGATATGATCCGCGATGTGGGTTTTTGGAATGAATTGGAGGCAGTTCAATCATTGGTTAAACTGGTGAAGGACATGGCTCTGGAGATCGAGACAGAAAGACCGCTTGTGGGTCAATGCCTTCCTCTGTGGGACGAATTGAAAGCAAAGGTGAAGGAATGGTGCTCCAAATTCCATATTGAAGAAGAATCAGTGGAGAAAGTGGTTGAAAGGCGATTTAAGAAGAACTACCACCCTGCTTGGGCTGCTGCTTATATTCTTGACCCACTTTACTTGGTAAGGGACACTAGCGGCAAGTACCTTCCTCCGTTTAAGTGCTTGACGCCGGAGCAAGAGAAAGATGTTGACAGGCTCATAACCAGGCTTGTTTCGAAGGACGAAGCCCATATTGCTCTAATGGAGCTTATGAAATGGAGAACAGAAGGGCTTGATCCTCTTTATGCCCAAGCTGTACAGATGAAGGAGAGGGATCCTGTGACTGGGAAGATGAGAATTGCCAACCCACAAAGCAGCCGGCTTGTGTGGGAAACTTACCTTACAGAGTTCAAATCTTTAGGCAAAGTTGCTGTGAGGCTAATATTCCTTCACGCAACCTCGTGCGGATTCAAATGCAACGTGTCCTTATTGAGATGGGTGTGTGCTCGTGGACACTCCAGGACCGCACTGGACAAAGCTCAGAAATTGATATTTATTGCAGCTCATTCCAAAATGGAGAGACGCGATTTCTCTAGTGATGAAGATAAGGATGCAGAGCTGTTTACCTTGGCAAACGGGGAGGATGATGTGCTCAACCAGGTCCTTGTTGATACATCCTCAGCCTAGCATTTTTTTTTAAAATTGGTTTATCAGTTAGGATATTTCATTTTTAGAATTTATTAAATTCTTTTACCACCCGCCTTCTTCTCCTTCCTCCTCCTTGTCTTTGGTCTTCTTTCAACCACTCCCTCTGTTTGTATTTTGTTCATTTAGTCTGAGGATTTTTGGGGCAGCAAGGGGACACATCTGTGGGGGAAAAGATTTTCTGTATTGCTACTTCCTTCTTTGGCCCTTGCATGGTTTTGAAGTTGTTAAATACGCGGGGAAAGAATATCTCGTCTTGTTTGTAAGGCTAGAAAAAGGAGCATGAACTGGGGCACATAACTGGAAGCATGTCGTAGAAATTTTTATTCCTGACATAAATAATAGTGTATTTGTAAAGGGGAAGGTTTTTATGAATTCTCCTTTGGTTTTAAGATCCGATCCCCACTCACTTTCTCACCTCTTGTCGAAACTAGCAGTTGTTGTGAATTCATGTAATTGTGCATGGACATTAATTCCATTTTAAGCTTTTCACACCTTCCGCTAAAGCTGCAGAGAATCCTTTGTAATGGTTTGCCGGGCGAAAAAACAAGGGAATCCATGTAATGCAAGGTAGGCTTTGTCTAGGGAAACTGTCTTACTGAGATGAGGTGTGGATGTCTGCGTGTCTTTAAACGTCGTTCGAGAATGTTGAAACTCGAAAGGCAGCGACCCTGTAAAACCTGGGAAGATGCTACGCTTTCAAACAATCCTCCGCGCACATCGATTGAGATTGAGTATTTCAGCTCCAAATATATTCAACTTTCTGCCTATAAAGTCAATGTCGTCCATGAATAGGCCTATTTTCAAGGAGGGGCGGAGAGATCAGCTCGGCTTTAGATGGTGCGTCAGCAGAACAAGGCCCGCAGGTCGCAGGATTAAAGTCTCTGTTAGCTAACGTTGTCGTGGATGATGGGGCTCAGTTCACTTTCCGCTGCCAAAAGTCTCGTCATCAATCTTGGGATAGTCAGCTAACAAAAGTAATAATAGTAACAATGATAATGATAACTTCACATGGTGCCGTACAAGCGCAGGACTTGACTTTCATGAGAATAGAGGGCATGAATTATTAGTACTATTTTACAACTTAAATGTTCTAGGTGGCAGGAGTAGACAAAGATATGGTTGAACTGGTGAGTGAGCCATAAAATGGTTGGTTGTTAGTAGGACTTGGTGGACCATCTGCAAGGAGGAGTTAGTATCTCGGAAAAAGGAATATTTGGCAGAGAGATGTCTTGGCGGTAAATGGAATGAGTTGGAAAATAGTACAGGAGTGAAAAACGGACCTCAAAACATGAGATGAAATATGAATGGTGGCACTGGGGCAGGCTCGATCTGAATAGATTTTGGAACCCCACCATGGAAGTTGGAACCAAAAGCTAGAGTCATTTTCTGATGAGAGGATTGGGATGAAGATGAGATGAGGATTAAGTTGGATTCAATCAAATCAGCTTTAGGTAACTTCTCTTTTAAACATTCCAAAGCTTAGTATTGCTGAAGCAGAGGCTTTAGAGATGATGCTTCCCATGATTGCCACAAAGGTCTTCTTTTGAGAACCCTAAGCAAAGCAATACTGTCGGCATGAAGCACCACACAAGATGCTCCTGTCCTTATTCTATGCTATCCTTTTTAATTTTTTTTATGGTTATTTGATTTGAGTCGTGTTCAAATATTATCATTCTGCATTTATGCCGACTTAAAATCGAGATCTCCGTTAAAGCTCTTTTGCTGAAGTTGTTGAATTAGTAATGAAAAGTATTAGCCTCAACCTACTGCTGCATGATCCTCCTTATGTGTTTCTATTCTTATCTGACTGATTCTCTTGTTATTTTATTTCATGTCACACATGCTTTTGCTACGGAAAGCTGTTGGAAAGTGAAATTACAACAAACTCTACCAACAACACCGTTGTTTTATTGTTCGTTGTCACTATCTAACAGTTTCCCATTCGAGTCATGCCGTTGCGACTTTAACGGCGAAGTTCAGCCCTGCACATATCCTATTTACACTGCTCTCTTCGTACAATTAGCTCACCTAAACCATTTTTAATATTCTAATTACTGTGATTGCAGTGCCATCATTTGCTCGCGCGCCTTGTTTGAAGTTATTCGAACATATAATAAAGAGAATAAAGAAAACAATGAGCGTAAAATTGATTTTATTTTATTTTTCAATCACATTTCATTACCTCAATTTTGTAAATCAAAGCAGGACTGGACAATGCTTTAGATATCATTTGGCAGCAAGCATTAAAAATTAGAAGTAGGATCGGTATTGAGATAAATTCTTCCAAATATTTATTTCATATACCGTAAAATTATTTTTGAAATTATAGTTTGATTTCTATCTAAACACTCTTTAAAAAAATAAAAAAAACAATGAACATAAAACCGATTTTATTTTATTTTTCAATCACATTTCATTACCTCGATTTTGTAACTCAAAGCAGGAGCCGGACAGTGGTTTAGATTTCAGCTGGTTGATGGGATTGTTAACTCGGCAGTGATGTCTTGGACAGCGACCCGCTCGAAAGAAATATCCAGTTGTTTTTAACTGAGAAGTTTATATTAATAGTGATACAAGTCTTGTGCTATTTATTTTGAATGTTCACTGAAAATTATCAGGAGCACATAACAACACAGGAATACAGTTGTTGTTGTGAGGAGTCTGATAAACCGAAAGGAAGGTAACTCTATGGTGCATATATTATTCTTGTCCACTGTAAACTGTAGCAGACTGGGATACAAACAATGTCATCATCATCATTATCACTTAGCATTCATGTTTTTGAAATACGAATCTCTCTTTTGTGAAGGTGGATGGGTTTCACATTCCCACACCCACCACTGCCAACAGTAAAAAGGTGAAAAATGAATGAAGTGGGTCTTTTTTTTAAGTGTTCACCTTTCGGTAAATGAAGTGACTGAGTAGAAATCTAGAAAAAAAGTAGAGAGTGAATGAAGAAATAGTAGTATTACTATTACCCCGCTCCCGTGGGTCGAGTGTATCGTGTAATTACTCGCTAAGTGGCCAGCAGACACAAATCATTGTCGGCAAGCCTCACCAAAGCTGACTGCTCACCAACTAAAAGCTCTCTCTCTCTCTCTCTCTCTATCTCTCTCCAGAAGTTTAGTTTAAGCTCTTTATATGGCTTAGCTTGTATGGTATGCAATTGCAACGCACCTCTCTACAATTCTGGGGCGAGCTTGCTAGTGGTAAAGCAAAGGATATGTAATGATTAGTATAGGACGACACAGGCTTTATACGAGAATCTTCTCCTGTTCCAATGCCCTGATTGTGTCACCTTTCTTATCTTTTTTCCCTGCGCCTTTGTTCATTATTATTGGTTTTACTACTCAATATTTATTTGTTTGCCTTTTTCTCGTGGACGTGTCCTTTTCTACCACCACACCATTCAGGCATCGATGCTCCCACAGAAAGCAGAAAAATGCTCTTGTGACTTGTGCTCCATCCTGCCCTACCCTCCTCCTTCCCATTTAATCTTCCCCGTCATTATTAATCCCCTTCATGTTTTGTTATTCTCGCCCAAATTTAACCTTCTTTCCATTTTTTTAAGTTGGTAAAGGTTAATAAGTGGCTGCTTGATTCTCGACGTCAAGAATGTGTTTGTGTCAACTTTGAATTGAAAGTTCCCGAGGATGAGGATTATATTTTGCAGATCTTTATAACTTTATTCCGGTGATATAGTTTCCTTCTGTCAACAATAAACAAGTATATATTAATTTATGTGAAGTGACGAGAAGTCAAAAAATATGTCCTCATGGAATTCAAAGGGCGAGACGTTCGAATCGGAAATACGTCCTGTGTCTTGAGTAGCCAGTACGTAATGGACCACCAGAGTTTGAATAGGTACGTTGCTTTGTGTTTTCAAAAAACTGGGTACGTTACTACTATTATTCAATTAAAAGACGCTCGCGTTTTCAAAAGAGAGATACGGTGCAAAGAACTACTTTGAGTTGATTTCCACCGTTGTTTCCCATGGTCCGCTAGTAATTATGAAATTCATTTCCTTCTCAAAGATGGAGCCAAAAAGTCCTCCCTCTTTCCATATTTTTTTCACCAACTCGCTTTTCTTTATCATACCTCCTTCCATTGTTCCTTATTCATCCATGTACGATCCAATTCTTTAATACGATATGTTTTGTTATTTTTTTCCCCAAATAAAGTCACGTGACTCGTCTTCCTCCTCCATTATGATATTACGGTATATGCACGTGTTCCATTCTGAGCCTCTAGGAAAGTCTTTCATCTTTGGGGGTATCAATGTGAATGAACACTCCGTGCACCTAAATACTTAATTCATTCAGGTGGGTGTAGTGGCAAAAATGTTAATTATAACCAAGACAGACTACTTATCATTTGCCCAACTATTAATATGGCCACATAGATTTATTAATTGTAGCTAATTAAAATACAGGGGCACAACTTATTATTGTTCTTCTTATTTCCTCTATCATTAAAAAATCAGCGGAAGTATGTATAGTGCATGGCACAATGCCATAGTGGGTTGATTTATGTTAATATACGGGGGTGTGTAATAATTGATGTTTTAATTCGTTGCACGTAAAGTAATAATAATGGTGGTTGCTCTTTAGGGCAGGAGCGTTGTGGGCAGAGGACTATGGGGTACAGCTAGGGAGGCACGTGTCACAATCATGACGGCTGAGTATCATGACCGTATGATGGGGCCACGAGACGTTGGTGTACGTGATTTCAGACGCACGAGGACTACAACTAGGCGAACGAGTAATTGAGCCTTAAGATCATTCTCGGTATGCCGGTACAAGTAGGAGTGTAGGACCCCCAGCGTGGGGCCCATCTCGATTGCCCCAGCCAGTTACATCAACCCAAATGACCTCTTGGTCAACAACTTTGACCTTTTCGTCTGAAGAAAGGGCCCCACTTCCCTTCAATCACAAATGATCCGGTCCAGTTCCGTTGAGACGGAGACGGGGGATGTGATAAGGTGCGGGAGAATACACGATGTTTAATGAAAGGACCAAATTCTGGTGTTGCCAGGCGATTCAGATGGGATGGCATTCGTACATGTAATCGTCAAATTGAAGAATGAGAGGCAAATATGATTCTGGGCTAACCACGCATGGATGGAAACGTTCTGCGTACGAGCCAACCATGAAATGCCAACAACAAATTTGTCGTCACAGAGAATCAGGATTTCAGGCACATCACAATATCACATCACGTCATTGCCGTCCTTAAACGACATCGTTTGAACGGACAAAACTTGCTACCGGTCAATCTGTTGGATGAGGTGAGGTGAGCTAAACGGCGTCGCGCTGACGCACTTGAAGCTATGCGTACTAACGTTCTTTCTTTCCTCCTTTGGTTTTTGGCCCTTTTCCTACGTTGTGACGGAAAACACCAGTCCTGATTCTAGAGAACACTTGTGAATGAACAGAGGTTGTTCAAACAAGATCCATGGAAGAGTTAGCGTTATATCTGGTGGTTTGTCCGTTGTAATGAAGCCAGAGCTAAAAAGATTATTTAAAAAAAGGGGGGGACCCCAGTAGGTGTCTCCGGATCATAGTTCTGGAGCACGTGGAGAGCAATATAATGGTGATTCCCATAATAAGCCGAGTATATGGATGTCTGGTTGATGATTCAGCTGTGTGTGTGTGTGTTATTAGTAATAAGTTTGTTAGATAGCTATCATCAGTAATAATAGTCCTCGTGAGCTATCATTACAATACACAGAATAGCGCATTATAGGAAGTAACTTTATATTTTATTTGTCATTTTTGCAATCTTGTCTCCGTCTAAAAAAGAAACAAAAAAAGTGTAGGAAACAAATGTCTTTACTCCTCAAACAAGGGTGAACAATTAAAGGGGAGGAATATATACACATAATTGCATAAGATTTCATCAAGAGTCCAGATGCTTTTACCCAGAAAAAACAAAAGAGGCAAGGTGTTGTTGGGGCAAATAAAAGATGTGAGTGTTCGGGGATACACTGATATTGGTAAATATGAAGTGAAGCTTAATATTGAATCACAACAGCGACAACAGGTAGACAGTCTTGCATGTACCAAAAGCGAAGAGACTGTTCAGTCAGTATACGCAGCATGCAAAGAAATGAAACAGTAAAATTTGTCTTCAATTTTTATATGAAAAAATGTCTTCCATGCAAAATAAAAAGACAAACATTAAACATCAAATTTCGTTTCTTTTTTTATCTCTCGTCGACTTGAATACTCTTCCCTCGCACTAAGCGGATGCTTCCAATACATTTTTGGCAGAGAAAATTGACCCTCTTCATACCCGGACCATTGTTGGCAAAGAATTCCAAAAGAAAGAAAGAACTTGAAAGCATGCGAAACACATGTCGTTTTAAGGGTGACAGCGAAATGTATAAGGATGTGTGGCCAAGAAGAAAGGAATCTCTTTCTTTGGTTTGTTTATCTGTGTAGGGAAAAAGAGGAGAAGATGGAGAAAAAATAAGAGAGACTAAGACGCGTGTCGTCATGTCGGAACACTCTTCCCTTCCATATGCAGGGACACTATCGTAATAACAATTAAGTACTCTGTAAGAAAAATTAATATAAAATGAAGACCTGCATATAAATAAAATTTTTAAGCTTATAATTTGAAGGTTCTTATTTTACATCATCCTCCCTAAATATTAAAGTGGCTCAAAAGGTCCGGCTTAGGCTGTGGCACTCCAAATGTGGTTGCATTTACATTCATATGTTTTGGGCCCCAATTGTGTATGGACTGGGCCCAATGCTCCTTAGACTGCGTAACAGGAGAAGTTGGGCTTGTTTTACCCAAAGGGACACATTGGGCCCATGCTTTCGGTTGTTTTTTCGATCCAAAAACACGATCAATATTTAATTTTAGCCCAGCTCTAGGTAGTAGACGACACATTACTAAATATCATTCGATCCAATTTCATAGGCCACTTTTCCACTTCACGTTGTGTTTGCTAGTGTTCATGGGGCCGAACCTCTCCGCAAACGGAGGCTATTTGATCTTGACCATTGGGCCGGTCCAATTATATGAATCGTGGGCCAGAGTTCAGTCCAAATAAAAAATTGTGGAGTACACGTGTCAAGCGCTAAAATGATCCGCGCATGTTCGTTTTAAACCACAAATCTTACAGTGGGGGTTCCCTCCAAAGGCTCGAACGCATCAATTCGTGTGATATAATGTTCGGAGCTTTGCATCCTTGGATCAATCCTCCCTCCAATGCAGTAGTATTCAACCCCTCAAGGCAATTTCGCGCTCTCAGCTAAGTTAGCAGCTGCTTTGCATCCTCGTTCGCTTCTTACACTTGCACGACCGCTTAAATCTCCCTTTTCCCCACGAGCCGATTCTTCGCATATACACGCCACTTTTCCCCGTCCGCGTAGCTAGGGCCGCGATAGCGCCCATGGCTTCTGCAGTGTCGACAATGGCAGTACAGTCGGGTCGGTATAGAATATTGAAAGAAGGATCTAGGGGTTCTGAGGGACAGGTGGGTCCCGTTGTGTACTGGATGTTTAGAGATCAACGGGTAAGAGACAATTGGGCTCTCGTCCACGCCGTTCATGAGGCTAACAAAGCTAACGTCCCCGTCGCAGTTGTTTTCAATCTTTTCGACCAGTTTTTGGGTGCTAAAGCCCGCCATTTGGGGTTTATGTTGAGAGGTTTACGGCAGTTGTCCCAGGATATTCAACAAAATTTTCAAATTCCATTTTTCTTGGTTCGGGTAATTTTCGATCATATGTTGCTATGTAAGCTTTTCTTGTGAATGTAGCCGTTTGATCAATTTCCGTCTTTTATTTTTTTCCTGATAATATCATCAGAATCATCTTTCTGAGATTTGAGTTTCTTCATTATTGAGCTGCATTTCGGTGGATGCCTGGAATAAAAGGTTGTGTCGACATTTTTTCCGGGTTTGCCTACAGGGAGAGGCAGAGGACACCATACCAGATTTCCTTAGAGAATTTGGAGCCTCGATGCTGGTAACAGACTTCTCCCCCTTGCGAGAAGTGCGGAGGTGCAAAGCGGCTATATGCAAGAGGGTAAGCGAATTAGTCACAATACATGAAGTTGATGCTCACAACGTAGTTCCCCTTTGGGTAGCGTCGGAGAAGTTGGAGTACAGTGCTAAGACCATAAGAGGAAAGATAACCAAAAGGCTTTCTGAGTATCTGATTGATTTTCCTACAATGGAGCCACCGACTAGCAAATGGATCGGCAGGAACCAATTGATCGATTGGGACGACCTCATTGCTGAAGTGTTGAGGTTAGACGCTACTCTTTTGATTGATATCATATACACAGTTGTAGACCTTTGTGTTGACATAGTTATTTCCTGCAACTAGAATTGGAGCAGAGGTTCCCGAGTTACATTGGTGTGAACCCGGGGAAATTGCAGCGATGGAAGTATTAATGGGCAGTAAAAATGGATTCTTGACAAAAAGGTTGAAAAATTATTCCAAAGACCGGAATGATCCATCCAAACCCAGCGGTCTTTCTGGTCTATCTCCCTATTTACATTTTGGACAAATTTCTGCTCAACGCTGTGCCCTAGAAGCACAGAAGCTGCGAAAATCATATCCTCAGGCATGTATAATTTAATCATGGTAGATTACTAGACCCTTTTACCTTTTTCTTTGTTTCGTTAGCACAGCCATTAAGCAAACTAGGCCTGACTGAACTGTTAACCTGCCAATCAACGGTAAGATGTGCTTGATAAGGAAGTAGCTGCATTTTACGGTCATTTTATCCCATTTGTCGTTTGCTCTTCTTCCCAAAATGACATTACTGTCTGGTGTTTCATGCGACCATATCTGAAGGCAATTGAAGCTTTCTTGGAAGAGTTGATTGTGCGGAGAGAACTCGCTGATAACTTTTGCTACTATCAGCCACATTATGATTCACTGCAGGGAGCATGGGAATGGGCTCGCAAGACCTTATTAGACCATGCCAATGATAAACGAGAACATATTTACTCGTGAGTCACATTATCTTGTTTTTACCTTTTCGTGGTTGCTTGCAATCTCATCTTGCTTTTATATCTCCAGGAGGGAGGTACTAGAGAAAGCACGAACTGCAGATCCTGTAAGTCGATCTTTTTACGTATTTTGTTCTAAAATAATCGACTTTAGACTTTGAAGGCCTTCTCGCTGTCATTTATCGCAAAACATTCCTGAATTTTACTGTTTTCAAGGTCCTGTTACCCAATAACTAGTGCATCATTTTGTTTATGAATATCAGCTCTGGAATGCTTCGCAGAAGGAGATGGTTTACCATGGAAAAATGCATGGTTTTATGCGGTAAGCAGCTTCCATATTATTCTTTTAATCTATTTGTTGCTTGACGATGATTGTTGTAGAGTTATTTCATTTTAATACATATGTCATCACACAACGAAGGGCGTCAATCAAATATTGAATGAAATTTTTCTCTCGTGAGGAGTCGCAGGGAAAGGTAAGTTTGGTAGTTTGCAAGGATCAAAGAATCTTTCTGGATTTGTTTGACTTATGACTGAACTGTGCGTCAGTGTCAAAAGTCAAAACTACTATTGTTTTATATTTTTATGGATATTTCGGTTGCGGCAGTGTATATTGCCTGTTTTTTGAATTTTATGTCAATCCTAGTTTCTTGATATCCTTGCCATGATCAGACTTTGAATTTTTCCATATATTTTTCTTGCTCGACTTCGTCCCGTGTTCATTGTTTGATATTTATGTGAATCTTCTTGTTTGTATTTTCCTAGTGGTGTGAGGAGTTAGTTTACTTGGAAAGTATGGTATGTGCACTGACGGAGTTGGCTAAGAAAAGAACTAGCTTGGGGTTTTCACCGAGTATGTTTGGAGGAATTGAATTGAATTGAAATTTTAGTTTTGGGTATCATACAAATATCTTGTAATCTAATTTTGATTTATGGTGGAATTTCTCTTCCAATCAATTGAACTGGTAATTTGCTCAATATCAACCGATTGATATTACATTTTTATTGTGTTTGTCAATCTCATTTCTTCAAAAAATTTCCAAATATTTTTCATTGTAGCGAGAAATTTTAATAGATTTTTCTGTTATCGTAAGTAGTGATTCGCATATGTTAAATCCTTTTCATTATCAACTGGTAATGACAGCCAGTTTCTTCTGATTAATTAATTGTACTTGTTTATGCCTTTTCCCTTATTCATTCATGTTTCTTCAATCCGAAAATTTTATTTACAGAATGTATTGGGCAAAGAAGATACTTGAGTGGACAAGAGGACCTGAAGAGGCCCTCGAGACATGCATATATTTAAATGATAAGGTGACTACGTTAGCTCGAGCAACATAGGGGGATGACAAACTTGGACCCCCCCCCCCCCAAAAAAAAAGCAAAGATTATTAATTTACCATTGCTGTTTGATGAAGTTGCAGAGATCTAAGAAAAAATATATTTTTTGTTGTTTTTAATGCAGTACGAAATAGATGGGAGAGACCCAAACGGGTATGTTGGCTGCATGTGGTCGATATGCGGGGTCCATGATCAGGTCCGCATGCATTGTTCTTATTCTCCGCATTGTAATTTGAAACTTGAAAGTAGAACGAATTTTGCTTCTTTGGTTTGCAAGGCAGTGCATTTGCCACTTGGTTCCCAAACCATTTAGGGAGAATTTCAATAATTCTCCACTAAACAATTAATATCAATTACCCTCGAAAGGTCTGAAATTTCACTACCCCAAAAGATCAAAATGGGTGACGGGAAATAAAATAAGGTGCTACTTCAGGTTTTTAATATAAGAAGTAATTGATTAATTTGAGTAGATTAAAAAAATTCGTTAAGTTAGTTATTTATAATAAATGTGTTCGTTTTTTTTAAAATATTTTTATTAATCAAGTGTTTTAGTTAAAATTATTTATGAGAAGTATTATATTGGAAAAAAATGAATGAATAATGACAAAATAAATTGAGATCTAATATGTAGAATTTAAATAAAAGTCAAATAAATTTTTATATTAAGGATTAAAGGTAGCATATGAGAACTGAAAATTATCTATGGAATATTTATGCGTTTATTTTTGGCTTTTCAGGGGTGGCGAGAGCGACCAATATTTGGGAAAATCCGATACATGAATTATGCGGGATGCAACAGAAAATTCGATGTTGACAAATATATGGCGTATGTTACTAAGTTAGTTGGTGAAATAAGAAAGAGAAAGGCTGAAAACTTGCCATCCGAGAAGGAGAAAGTACAACGCCGTTAGTTTAATTTGATTATGTGAACTCATATTTTGTTACGCATTTAAGGCTGACCGTTAGCAGGAATGTGCAAAAAATTGTGCAATGACCTCTGGAAAATTCTTATCTGTTATTGGCTTTCGCACTTCAAGACTACTAAGTTTGAAACATTAAGTGCAGAGAGTTAATGATCCTTGGTATAGAGTTAATAGCGCATGCCCAATTGAGATTAAACCCACAGAATCGGACCATCTAACAAAACTATGATTACATTTTTCTGTCTGGTTTGATACAAGTACAAATATGCTTCCGCTAGTATTTAAATCAGAGCGGATCATTTCCCAAATGAGAGAAGAATCAGGAGAACGGATCCCTAATCAGCCAAAAATCCCTAGCATATGCACAGTCTGGTTTAGTGGTTTGGATGAACAACATGCCCAGTGTTAAAAAAGAATTGTTCTATGAAGATGCTTGAACCGGCAGATCATACAAATATAGGGAAGCTCATCAAGTTTCCATCTGTAAATCATATCTCAAGATCATCCAATGATAACTCGTGGCTCGTTAGCATCTTCAATTTCTGCCAAAAAGAGGATAGTAAGCATGATGATGGCTAACTGCTTTCCCTGGTTAAAGACACATTTCCATACGGCTATAAATAACTTGAAAATTTTAAATACCGTAATAAATTGTGCAGGATCGTCAAGACTTGATGAACCCAGAATAACTTCCCTCTTCAGCTTACCAGTTAGCTTGTGGCAAACCCTCAGCTGAGAAATAAAACAGCATATGGATAAGACAAGCGGGAAAAAAATAAACACCATAAGCTCGTCTATTAAAGCATTGATCAAACCTCGGATCTGGTAGCTCCACCGACAATAAAAACAAAAATGCGTTGTCCCATCTTCTTAAAATCACTGGATGTGTGTTTAAGCACTGAATCGCTGATGCAGCCCAAAAGAGAAATGAAAATAAGTGAGAAAGTCAAGGAGTGGCAAAGATCGCAGATCCAGGCTTGCAATTGTAACAAAAGCTTGGTCATTTGGAAACAAAATATTTATTTCAAGTCCACACAACTCATGGGTAGACAGCAATGGAGGCAAGGGTTTGAAGGGAGGAGGGGAGAGAGTTAATGAATAGAAATATATAAAGTACCAAGATAAGTAAAGATCATATTAATCTGACTCGCATAACAAGCCAACGAGAACAGAACCTTGAATATCCATCGTCAGAGCCTCGAGGTCTAGCCCAAGTTGGTGTGCGTCTTGATCTCATTGAATGAGCTGGTGGGTTATGATTCGCTGATCCAACAAAAGGTGAACTATGAAAAGACGGACTAGGGTCATTCAAACATGGATACTCTTCCTTTGCCAAATCATTTTTGCTGAGTTTTTCAATAATTTCCTGTGAGAGATCATCCACTCATCACATATGAGGCTCGAAAAGTTGACAAGATATGAAAATACAGCCAATTTAATTCTCAAGAAGATATTGCTATAAAGTAACAGGACTCCATCTTTATCATCTTTATACTACAACTGTGTGAAAAGGTATAGCCGTTTGCAAAGAATAGGACTATTCTTCGCTAACCAGCCCAGTTACTGAATCAACTACAATTATAATCCTTAAAAAAAAATAATAATAATAATTACCATCATAACAGTCCTAATTTGAAAATTACATCAAATAGACGAGACTAAATTAGGTGAGAGGTAATTCTGCTAACCAAATGCCACGAGTTGTATACATAGACTCATACCCTAACGTCTACTCAGTTGGAATGTACTTGAAAATCCATCTAGAACCTTTGGCCGACAAGTTGCAAATGCTCCATGTCATCATTATCACAGCTATACGCCAGCTCAGGCCAACTTTGAAATGGTAGCATTTTTATGTGATTAAGCTAGGTATTTTCGTTTGCAAAATGTCAAAAATGGGTTGCCACGGCAGTTATTAATGTAAAGGGAAATATATAGGGCCCTGTGGCTACTCCAAAAATTTTGTTAAGATGAGGAGATTTATTTGTTGTACTTTGGAACATCAAAAGTTACGAACTGATGCTGGCACTTTCCCGAACTAAACTAATCAATGTGATTTTCACAGATCAACATTACAGTCACAAGGTTTATAATAGCACTCAAGCAAACGCTAGAAAGAAAACCCACCCACAATTTATCAAGGTTCAGACACGATGCTTAAGGACGAAGGATGTATCATGCAAGGTTCCCAAGCAAGGAAAAAACATGAAAACATTGTTCAACAATGAGGAAATCTATAACGAAATAGAGGAACCCGTCAAAATATTTTTCAACAAGAGTGTAATTTATCATGCAAGATTGTCAGCTATATTCTACCCTCTCACAGATTTCCATGATGAGCACATTTTACATTTAGGGAAATTTGACAGTAGTCCAACTTCATGTGTACCTCTATTATGGGATAAAAGCGTGACAACTGCCATGTCTCTTCTTCACCAGAACGGTCTTTTCTTGCCGCACGCTTCTTCTGACAACTTGAACAAATTGTTTTCAGGCATAATGTCAATACTCAAAATCATCAACTCAAAGTAGAAGTTTCTTTTACCTTGTGTAAATCAAACTTGAGAGCAAAGGCACCAGTCACACTTTTTTTGGTATCTGGTTGTGCCCCTAGCATTCTCATGTTATGCACAGCTCTCATATCCTCAATTGTCAACCTTGCCACCTGAAATGCATTTAGAAGACAGTGCACAACATCATTAAGAGAGTCAGGAGATATAGCAGTGACAGAAAATTTATTTAATTTATACTGAAAAGGAGTTGGCAATTTAGATGGCGACAGTAACAAAGAAAACAGACCTTCATCAAGTTTTCACCCTTTTCACCCTCAAATTTCTCAGGATAAATGGCTGCAAGAATCATCAACAACCGCAACTTATTTTCCCGAGTTATATCCTGCATAAAGCATTGTGTTTCATTTTATTTCAAGACATGAAAATATGCCAAAACTATATTTCTATTGTCACATTCTGCATTAACGCTTGCTCAATTTTATGCATGCGATGACAGGTTACATCTTTTTCTATTCCCCTCTTAGAACTTCTTACATCTTTTGCTGTTAAGAATTTGATCACATCTTTCATTCCTGCATTTCCAAAAACAAGATCTTGCTCCAGCTGTCCAAGTTCCCGTAGTCCTGTCTCCCTAATGGTTCTGTTAATCTTCCCTGCAATCTGGAGCACATTAAGCCCATTAATATTCCCTAAAGGTATGGCAATGAACATAATCAGCAACGTAACCATTCTTTTAAACCATTTACGATCTATTAATATATAATGTTAATTAAATGCTAAAATAAGAATCAACTTGAAAAAATATTTATAAAACTTGAGCTGCAAAATTCATTTTTGGAGCCATTCATCAGCAAGAATAATGATGGACATGGAAGATGAAACCAAGCAAACAACATCATGCAACCATTATAATAAGCTGTCCCATGATTGCACCATAAAGAAACAAACCTCTACATGAAGGGAGAGTTTGTCAATTTGTTCACTGTACTGTGGAAGCGCTTGGACCATCTTTTGTAAGTCCCTTGTTGACATTTCACCATCTCTATAAATGAAAAGGCAATGATAAGTATATAACGACACTGACAGTAACTAGATTTTTTTTTTTTTGGTAAATCAACTCCAGATCCTAGGTTAGGTAATTTAGAAAAGGCCAATTCATCATAACAGAAAAATATGCAAGCCTCTGACTTAATTATCAGTCATGTGTTACACATAAGCAAAGATCTTAAATATCAAAGAGCCTACGCAGAATATAATCACAAAAGATAAGTGAAGCTTCAATTAAATATTCAGCGAAGAAATGAAGAACCCCATAGACACACCATAAAGAAAAATGAAAATATCTCAATCGCCAAAAAGAGATCTCTTTCCAAAATGACTAAGATTACCAAGCGGGAGAATGTAGATATATATATATTTTTTGAAAAATAAGCACAACTAGAAGATAAAGTCAGAATCTCAGCTCATAAAGCTTCTAAATAAATTAAATGAAATGGGTACAGGCGTAAAGATTCCAGAAAATTGTCACTTGCCTGGAACCATGCTGGATTTGAGCGGCCTTGTTCTTTGAAATGAAGCTGGTCATCTTCTCATGCAACCGCTCACTAGCCTGACGAAGTCATTGATATCAGAAGGTAGCATTGCGTAATTGATAATAATAGAAGGGTAGAAGGGTCAAGAAGAAAATACATCTGCAATATGTGCATGGCGAAGCTCAAGCCATATAGGATCATGGTCCTCCAAAAGAACCTCTTTTCTCTCAGGTAGACCACCGGTCTTGCTGGGAACCTTAAGTACAAAAAATTTATATTATATTCAAAACATAGCAAACACAAAACTTCAAAAATAGATTAAATGAAACAGAGGTTTTAGCATATACCTCGTGTATATATTTATTTCCTTCCATATTCAGTAAATCATGGCACATTGCATCATACGTCCATTCATGTATTACAGGTGCAATCTACAGATTCAGATTAACACCTTATGAGTAAACATCGAGAGTCTGTTGAAATATTAACTTAACTCCATGATAAACACATGAAGGCTAAGAAAAACCTGATCAATTGATCTGTCAAGGATGAGCAATTCACATGTTTCTGTCTGAGGAAAGTTAGGTATAGTTTTTTTATATTTCATAAGACAGTCCCAGACTCCAGCAGCAAGCTTCGTAGGAATTAGATCACGGAAAGTAGTCATCGTGGTTGCATCAAGGGTCCTTGCAGCACGAAAGCGAACTAAAGGAAATTCCTAGAAAGGCTTACATGCTTTAGAAGGCTTTTTGGTCATGTTTGAACATTTAGAAAGCACTGACTACGTTCTTGTTTGTTGGCATAAGGAGATAATAAATACATACTCTTAGTGATGCAAAAACAGTAGCAATCCGAGTAGCCATCACATTCAAACATGCAACAGCTTTGCGATTATTCTCTTCATCTCCAAATAATTCTTCTAAAGCTCTCTCATTGTTTGTGATGAAACCCTTCAATAAGACGAGCAGATGACAAAAATCACACACCATAAAATGATAGCATCAGATAAACAAAACACCATGATTTCAAAAACTAATCAAGGATTTA